GGATTGCTGGTATAATCAGCCGATATTTGATAAAGGCCTAATTTTTTGTTTAAAAACAGCAGTGAGAGACACTGTCATTCGAATTCTGTACTTCGTGCTATAAGTAACTTACCCAGATAATATTATTAAGATATGTTTGACGTGTTTTTCACAGGTCACGCGTCCGGTGGTTTCAATGAAGAAGTCATATGGATCAGCATTGGCATGAGCATAGCCATCGTCATACTGATAACGATAGCTCTGTGCTATTTGGCCAGGCAACGGTGCAAGAAGAGACAGGAGATCAGCGTACGCACTTAACATGGAAAATGTACAAACACACATACACCATACACATACTTAAGCATACCTATACTACGACCACCTAAATACGAGTCATCGCTCGGTCTGCTGCGTACACAGAGTTAATGTAATTTCAATGACCCCACACTCGCATTGTCATAACCTAATTAATATTATTATTATTATTATTATTATATCTTATTGTTGTCATTTTTATAATTATTTCGATATTATTGTTATCATTTTTATTTTTACTTATGTAGACGTATATTTAGTGTGTGTCCTTGGCTGAAGAATTATATTCTTTGTCGTCCCTTACTTTCGGCGATCACATGACATGTGTTTGATTACCCCGCCCCACTCATTTCGTGTCATAAATTGATCACGCAGCATACTTAACCTAATCCCGTCAATCTTCCCTTCTCCCAAACAACTCCGCCAACATAGTCATAACGTCAGAATAAATCACGTCACGCATATTTACGTGRAAACCAATAAACTCCAACAAAACAATATTCAATGCAAGTACAAGAAGTCTCAACRTGTCACACTCTCCTTCCGAAGATACGAAGATCCTCAGACGTTCTAAGGCAAAGGTGGTATAATGCGTTCACCRTTTGGTGCGTTAATAATTCACCGGTGACATTTTACGTTTTACGAAACACTCAAATACAATATGGTACTCGTTATCACGTCGACATAGCACCAAATATTTATTTTACATTATACATATTATTATTAGGTATATTCACGCGAAAAACGTCACACTAATCATACAACACAAATTTAATATAAATACGGTTAAAGTGATTTTATATTATGTACCCCTTAGTTACCATAATAATCAATACACTATAGGTATATTGATAACACTATAATACAATATTGGCTTATATCGAAATAGTTGTAAGCTGCACGCTGAGATGAGTGAAGACGCGAACGGGGTTAATCATTTTAATGATACTATTATATGGCACACGTTTCTTTTTCGATTATAATGTTGTGATTATAATATGAATACAGAAAATGAACATCGCGTTCAACCCGAAAAATCATTAATTTATTGCAGTAGGACCACCGCGATACGGTCGTCGTCGTCGTCATTCGTTATTGCGTGAAAGTTTTAAAGATTACAATAAACAACGTAATAATAAAAGGATTATACTAAAATATAATAAATTGTCACCATTACCGCTGTGATGATTGATTTCATTTTTATTTATAATAATTCACATTATTCAATTGATGATTATTAAATTTTACTTATTGAAATCCTGAATCTCCTGTGGCGTTATTCCGAGTGATTGTATTTAATAAATTTATGTAATAATAATAATAATAATATGTTTTTGCACCAACGAAAACGATTTTTTAAATGTATTACAATAGTATATTAGTAACATTAGGTAACAAAAAAATAAAATATATTCATTTCATTCGTTCGAGGTAGAAATTTAATCCTGCAAACAATGTTAAATTCCAAACCATAATGTTATTATATTTTACACTGCAATCACCTGTATGATATATTATAATATAAAAAATATTAAAGATATGTTATAATAAGACAACTAGATGGCCGACTGATTCTTATCAATGAGTCGTATGGGTAATATTTACATTGTGCCGAATGAGATTACCGGATTTCTAGGCTGTTAAGAATTTTTAATTTAAATATCTGGAATAAATCATGACTGTAGTACGATATGGAGGGCTGTAATGTGTGATAACAGATGACAACAAACCGCACACAGTATATTATGGCGTTAAACTTTATTGTAATAYGTTGCAGGCTATATTATAATAGAGAAGTCACCTATATCTAGTAGTTTTATATAATATAGTAATAACGCAAATGTATTGATATACTCACATATAATTACAAAATAACATATGGATACATATTATTAAAATACTCACGTAAGTGCAACATATTATTAAATGTCCAAAGATAATACTTCATGCAGTTTATTCACATACAGATCATAATGCAACTTGTAGGTAACTTGTAACACGCATATCGCGTGTAAATTGTAAAATATAAGAATATTTTATAAGTTTCTTCAATGGTTCTGTCAATAATTCCGAAATCTGTCAGAAAAAATTGAAAAATAAAATTAATATT